TTCACAGCATATACTGTAAAGTGAATTGACTCTATATTTTGTGGGCGAAACGCAGCAGCCAATTGCACACAGTAGTGTCCTACAAAAAGTCGTGGATTGAAGTGACCAATTTAATATTTTATTTTTTTGAAGGAATTATTACCCCCAAGAAAAGTGATCTGTCAATCAACTAACAATCGGGTTCATACTTACTGCTAGGTAAACAGAGGCGTGTGGAATAAGGAAACTCGCCCAAGGTTTCATCCTGCCAGGAATCAAACCCAGGTCTCTTGCTTGAAGGCGAATGCACTAACCACTGAACTACATGTGGAGCATGTGCATTTCATTCTTATCAGAAAAGTGGATGTGAATAATAATAATAACAATAAATAATCCTTGCATTTGATATAGTGCCTCATCATGTCTTCGAGATGTCTTAAAGCACTTTACAGAATATACTGTATATTTTGTGGTGAAAGGTGGCAGCCAATTGTACACAGCAGTGTCCCACAAACAGTCATGAATTGAGTGACCAATTTATTATAATTTTTTTTGAAGGAATTATTACCCCCGAAAACAGGAAACAAGCATGTGGACTAAGGAAACCTGCCCAATGTTTCGCCCTGCCGGGAATTGAACCAGGGTCTCTCGCCTGCGAGGCGAGTGCTCTAACCACTGAGCTACAGGACTAAGGTAATACAGTGAAGGTGTACAATGGAGCTTAGTGACAGTCTGTTAACACCACCAGGCCTTGGAAGAACAGCAGAATCATGTCATCAAGATATCTCAAAGTACTTCACAGGATTTACTGTAGAGTTGAGTGATTGTGTATTTTGTAGGCTAAACGTGGCAGTCAGTTTGTGTACAGCAATGTTCCAAAAACAGCCATGGAGTGAGCGACTAATTTTATTTGGAAATTAGGAAACTCCCTTCTCTTTTCAAATAATGCCATTGGATCTTTACCGTCCACCTGATCAAGCAGACGGGGACTCAGTTTAAAGTCTCATCAGAAGGATGGCATTTATTAATATACCATTTCAGAGCATCCAGAAATTTGTAAGTTCTTAAACACAGCCTTAATTCTGAGGCCGTTGTCCTGTAAGTTCTTTTAGGAATCATGGAACACAGACCCTGAGACTGAATTTGGAAAATTCTGGACAATCTGAAAGGCGACATTAATCAAGTAACTGAACCCAAGCTGAAATTTTGTCCCAGTAATCTCAGTATTAGTTGGGAAGAGGTCCCAAGCAGAGATTGTAAGGACGACTGGTGAAAAATAAGATGGAAATGTCTCACTGTTATAGTGCGTAAGCAGCTGTTCTGTAGTGGCGAGTTGTTGAGGTAATGCAGTGGGCCTTCTAAACTGCACTCTGCTATTGATTGTGCTTTCTGCTGTTAATTGCCGTGTGATAAAAATCAAAGCCCCTCACAGCAAACCTGGACAGGACGCCCATAAAACAAGGCACTGAACGCTTGCATTGCTTAAAGTTACATATTTTACAGAGCTGTTTGCGCCCTCGGATTTTCCCTAACAAGGTTACAATCCTCTTAACGCAGAATGTTCCAGAAATAAACATTTGAATGTTATGTTGGCAACCATGTGCTGATCAGGTTACGTTTCACAGAAATATAGGTAGAGACGGTGGCTTCAGCTTTCGGCAGCTTATTTAATTAGAGAGATAAGTAAATCAATTGAACTTAGTCCAGACAAATTGAAGCAAACCCAATCAGCTCTACACCAGAACCAAATCCCCTTTAAAAGTCCATCCCTCCCTCTCCCTCTCTCCAGCACTATAGACAGAAGATCCCAAACACAATACCAGGGTAAATCATGAGACAAGGGTTACATTTTATTCTCACCTCCAATTTTCTAATTTCCTCTCCTGAATGTAGTGATTGCTGAGGTGCAGATACACTGTGATCAGCCACCTCCCGTGCTTCATCCAAGTGGTCATTTCTCTTCTGTGAGTGTAAGCAAAGAAAGCTCCTTCTCAAGTTCAGGGAAGCTAATTGTGTGTCTCTGGGGAAATTCAGTCAGTTTCCATTATGGGTTTGCTGCAGTAACTTGATAGCTTTCAGGGAATTCTTATATGGAATGGTTTACGCTGAAATGGTTTGAGATGGATAAAGTAGGGATTGCGCTCTTTACTTGGAGATCATATATTGTTCCTCGGTCTGCTGTTGAACTACCCTGAGAACCTATAGTAATTACACGACTGAGCTAATATTGGGTGTGACACAATGCTCCTGGGTTCTTCTTGGTAACATTTTTCATAGGATCAGGAATTGCTCATATAGCCTATCAAGCTTGTTCCGCCATTTTATTAGCTCATTGCAGCCCTTTATCTTTCTAATTCCATTTTCCACTCTTCTCTCCAAAACTCTACTTCCCACGGATCTATCTAGCACCCTCTTTAACAACTCAATTCATTTTGCATGTATGTAGATTCTGCATCATCATCACCTACAAACACAGTGACTGCACTTCACAGTAAAATTCTACGAAGCCCTTTGAGACGTTCTCCCAACATGAAAGGTGCTGTATTAAATGCAAGGAGACAGAGGAAGGATATCAGAGGATATGGGAAAGAGCTAGGAATTCAGATTAGTTTATTGGCGGAACAAATCTCAATATGTAAAAAGTAGCCTTTTATGTTTCTATGGTTTACAGCATTTTAACAATTTTGAAATTTTCAACATACTTTAGTAACTAACGAATTGGTCTCCCACCTTCAAGAAATCTTTTCTGGATTCACTTTTAAGGTTTAACACTTTAAAGTGTTTATTTATCTGTTTCTAATTACATTACCTAGCAGAATTCACAATCAAACAGTTGAATTGATTACTATTTATTCATCCTGTAAAGATCAACGGAAACAACACCATCTCCTTAAATAAAGAGGCATACACATCATTTACATGAATCAACACATTGTTCCAGTACTTCATTGCCCAGATTTGTTTTTCTTTATCTCTCTGAATGTCTCTACCCCTTGCCCCTAAGCAGCCACCTCTGGCTGAGCTGATAAGAAAGCTGTTCTGTAAGGTTTTCTGTAACCGGTTGGTGCCAAAAGATTTGTGATCAGGTTTGTTTCAGGAAGGAAAAGTTGAGCATTATCAGGTCCTGTCTCCCTCCCCACTTTCAACGGACCTTCTTATTGTGCTACATATTGAGGCAGGCAGTTTGGTGAACTTATGCCCTCTGATCTTGGAATCCCCAAAAGTTCACCCTTATCTTGGCATTTTACAATGATGTTCAAGGCGTGGACGGATAACAAAAATAGATGTCAGCTTGGTTCAGTTGGTAGGACTCTCACCTGAGTTAGAAGGTTGTGGTTGCAGTCTCCACATAAAGACTTTCAAGTCACAAGTCTAGGCTGACACTCCAATTCCGTGCTGGAGCTGTGACACATTGTTTGAGGGATATTAATGTAACTACCTGTATACGCAAACGATCAAAACTGATTTTCATTTTAAACACAACCAATTGCTGAGCAGTTGAAATTAATCTTTTAAAAAACAAAAAATCAATTCCAATAGATACAGGGATCTTTTTGACTATAGAATTATAGAATTATACAGCACAGAAGGAGGCCATTCGGCCTATCGTTCCTGTGCCAGTTCTTGAAAGAGTTGTCCAAATTAATCCCACTCCCCCGCTCTCCCCCCATAACCTTGCAAATTTGTTCTCCCCAAATATCTGAGTCCTGTAGCTCAGTGGTTAGAGCACTCGCTTTGCAAGTGAGAGACTTGAGTTCAATTCCAGGCAGCGCGAAACCTTGGGCAAGTTTCCTTACTCCACACACCTAATAATAATCCCTCCAAAGCAAAACAATAATAAATTGGTCATTTTCAATCTACGACTGTTTGCGGGACATTGCTGTGCGCAATTGGCTGCCGCGTTTGCCCACAAAATATAGTCAATTCACTTTACAGTGTGTTCTGTGAAGCGCTTTGGGACGTCCTCCTGACGTGAAAAGCGCTATACCAAATGCAAGGATTATTATTATTATTATTATCTATCCGCTTTTCTCTTGAAAGTTGTTATCGAATCTGCTTCTACCACCCTTCCAGTGCCTTGGGACGTCCTCCCAACGTGAAAGGCGCTCTATAAATGTAATTTTGTTGTTGTTGGTGTTTCAGCCAATACATTCCAGATCTGAACTCGTCCAGATCTGAACAATTCGGATTAATTCCATTTTTCAAATCAATATGTTTCCTGGCCAACAAACACCCAACTAAAATTGGTCATTCACTTTGTGGCTGTCTGTGGGACATTGCTGTGTGCAAATTGGCTGCCAAATCCACCCATAAGATACCCAGTCACTATACTTCACAGTAAAATTTGTGAAGCACTTTGAAACATTTCAACAACGTAATATGACACTATATGAAATGCAAGGATCGTTATTATTATTATTATTGTTATTACCTGCTGCATTGTAGCCCCAGCAGGAGTCGTTACCTTCAGGAGAGCAGGAGTAAAGTGGAGAGACTTGAAACGAGGGAAAAACCAATGCATGAGTATTCATTTGCTGCACAAATAAAATTTGGTCCTATACGTTTAACCGAGGTACTTGTTCTGAGCCAGTGAAACTGAAAGTCAATTGGAAACTATATTTCTTTGGTATGTTACAGGAAGCACATGTGTTACATGTGTTACAGTATCAGAAAAATGTAATCTGTAATGCCAGCAATGAATTAGTGGAGAAATTGTAATCCTTAATATAATTTGACATGTGTAATGCACAGATGCTTCTGCAGTGCTTTAATGAGTAACACTGTGACATTTAACAGCTAAGTGCAGAAGCCTTATTTCAAGATATCATGAATCAAGAATCAAGTTTATTATCTCTGCCAGTTGTCATGTAACAGAATATGCTATCGCAGATTGTTCTACAAGTAATTTCACACTTACCGATCCCACCGGGTGCCAGATGCAAATGTGAGTAAGCTCCATGAAAGTCACACTGAATGAATGATGTGTTTTTCAAAGAAATAGAGGCTTAGTCTCTGCCAAGTTATGCTTGGCCTGCAGGGGTTTTGTGACATCTACCAAAAAATATCCCACCGCTTGAGGTTGTGCTTTGGAAGCCTAGAGACTAAAATGTCATCATGCATACTCTACTACAAAATGCGTGGAATGATGCATGCCCTCTGATCTCCACATCCCTATTCAAATAGACTTTGTCACCAGCTCTGGGATAAGCAGGACCGAGACATAACGGAAAGAAACGGAATATAATTAGTATGAGTTGGCCATTGTCCACTCTGGTTGAGTCTCTAAACAGATAGGCAATACCATATTTTTGAGGAACACCATTTTGTCAGTGGAACAGAGTTCTGCTATTCCTGGTAAGAGAAAAGTTTTTCATATCTTATTTTATTTCCTGGTGTTTCAACTCTCTTAATATGGAGGCTCTTACTTGTGGATATCATTGTCCTATTAACCCCATCATTAAGGATTTGAGTAATACTGTATTTATTTATCATAACCCCAGTTCAGTCGCAGCAATTTTATAGTAAAATCGTAAGGCTATGGAATCCTTTGAATGAACGGTATCTTGTAAAGTTATTGTTTGATTTTAGCTGGAACAGATGGTGAATTTGTTTGCGATCCTTGTGCAGGATTTTAAGTCTGACCACCAGATTGTTCCTGTTATGAAGCAGTGCCTGATTCCTGATTAAAAAAACTGCCCTTTCATCATGCTCACTCTGACCTGTCTAGGTTCTGGAAATACCTTCATTAATGATAGAATGGAACTGTATTTAAACTGTATACTTGTCAGTGCATAAAATAAACCAGGGAGAAACTACTATGATAAAATTGCATTTATAATAACAATCGTTAGAATCCTTAAATTTGATATAGCCCCTTTCATGTCGGGAGCATATCTCAAAACACTTCACAGGAAATACTGTAAAGTGCAGACTGTATATTTTGTAGGCAAATGAACCAGCTAACTACATTTCATATGTCATAAGTCATAAACCTTGTGAAAACAAGCCTGATGTTTTTTCTTGTCATTTATTTTTGCTAATAAATCAAGTGCAAACCAAATTCAATATTAAAAAGCATTGCCAGACCAAAATAACTTTCTGGTGCATTATTTAAACATAGTTAATGACACAGCAGTCATATAAACTGATCACGTGTTCTAGTGCTCTAAACTAAATGTGGGGATCCCAATAGAGTTTTTGAATGAACACATTATTGGGTAGGAATTCCACCAGGGTCTAGATTTACTCTATTAACGTAGCACTTCAGAACGTACAGAATGTTGCAAATTCTTAAATCCAGCCTTAGTTTTGGAGCCAAAACATTTATTTTAATAATGAGAGAAAACTAGCTTCAAATTGAACAACTAGTCCAATTCTGGCTAATCAAATAATAAGATGTTATTATTTACACATGGGACATTATTGACAACAGTAGATTTTAAAAGAAAAAATTGTGTAAGTTAAAAAAAAAATGTTTTAGCTTCAACCAGTTCACAGTACCCACTGTTGATAAAAGATTGGACACAGTCAAGCTATAGTTTCAGTGCTGTATCTGGCAAGGAAATGTTGCTGTAATCATCTAATGTGGATCTTTAGTTTGAAACAATTAAGTCTTTGTGCTCTGTCTGATTTTTAAAAAATGAAAATCATCAACAATATATTTTCTGTTACGGGTTTTCTTTTGGTCAACCAGGTGTCTGACTTACAGATGTAGAAACCCATCAAGAGTATCCAAACCAGAAAGAGCCACATACATGTGCCACCTACATATGAACATTTACAGTTTTGTTTCCAGTAGTTCCTGCAGCCTCAGAAAATTCAAGATAATTCAAGAGTAAAACTAAATTATTATTAATTATAATAAATAATAATTCTTGCATAGGCTATAGCACTTTTCACATCTCCTAGACATCTCAAAGCACTTCACAGAATATACTGTAAAGTGAATTGACTCTATATATTTGTGGTCGAAACACGGCAGCCAATTGCGCACAGCAGTGTCCCACAAACGGTCGTGGATTGAAGTGACTAATTTATTATTGTTTTTTTTCTTGAGGGATTATTATCAGGCGTGTGGAGTAAGGAAACTTGCCCAAGGTTTTGCCCTGCCGGGAATCAAACCCAGTTCTCTCACTTGCAAGGCGAGTGCTCTAACTACTGAGCTACAGGACTCCATGATAATAATCCTTGTATTTGTTGTAGCACATCATCAAGACGTCTCAAAGTACTTCACATGATTTACTGTTGAGTGTAGTGACTGTGTATTTGCAGGCTAAGTTAGATAAAACCTAATTTTATGTCAGGCAGTATAAGATGTAACTATAACTTCACTGAGGGGATGGGGAGGGTACAATTGACAATTTGGTTCAGCAAAAACAATACAAATTTACATTTTAATGTAAGTCTGTGTGTGTATGTGTGTGTGTATGTGATGGCTGTTCATTTTCCTCATCAATTTTCACAGCAGGAGGAAGCTGGTTTTTAACTATTTCTCACAACGATCATATTTCAGCTGGGAAAAAATTATAACGCCATAATTCATAACAAATCTAATTCATAATGGTGGCAAATTAACTATTTCTAGTACTTTCATTACTCAAATTGCTAAGCATCAGCCCTTGAAATGCCACCCACTTTTACTCTGAAAGTCTAATTTAAGAAAATTCATCAGTTCAGGTTTATTTTGACCATCTCTTTAACAAAACCAATTTCCAAATTAAGCTTGAGTTTAAACATTTTCCAAACTTTAGGCTAAGAAATTTCAGGTTTCAGTTCCACAAAGAGTAGACATCAGTAGAAATATACAAATGATAATACAATTATTACTTATAATCTATTGCTGGTATTTTGCTTGGTGCCAACCTGACTCAGTTGATAGTACTCTGACATCTAATTCAGACAGTTCTGAATTTCAAGTCTCATGTCCGTAGTTGAGCTCATAGTCCACGCTGACTCTCCAGTCAAGTATTGTTGGATGTTCTGTTCTCTCAGATGAGATGCTTTAAGTCCTCCGAGACACAACCATGCATGAAGGGCTCTATTTAAATGCAAGTTGTTGTTTGTTGTTGTTTAACTCAATGTTCTGTTCTCAGGTGGTTGTTAAAGATCCTAAGACACTGTTCAGAAAACAGGAAGGAATTTCTCTTGGGTGTCCTATCCAGCAAACTTCCAGATTAATTGGTCAGTCACTTCACAGCTATTTGTGAGATTTTTCTACGTGTGAAATGGTTGCTGCATTTGTTTTCCCAAAACTTTTGCTCCAATTGACAATTATTGCTATAAAGTGCTGTGAGATATGTCAGTATATAAGGTGCTATAAAAATGCAAGTACATTCTTTATTCTCTTGTCATCAAGTCACAATGTACTTTTTTTTCTAGGAAATGAACAATTCATCATATTATTCCAATCGGGTGAAGGTATCTGGCAATGACTATGATCTGAGAGGAATATGGGAGAAGAGGATTCAAAAGCAGGAAGAGTGGCTACAGCAGGAACAAATGCGGGTGGATAAGAGTGCCCTGAACAAGTAAGAGTTTTTTATTGTTTTATCAGGAGATTGTGACTCCTTCAGCCCATTCAAAAAGTCCAGGACCGAGCCATGAGGTGGATTTGTAGCAAAAAAGGAATGAGGCTGGAGAGTGAACACATAAACACCATAAATTTCATCTCAAAATCTCAAAATTATTATAATTAATAATAATTTCATCTCAAAATGTGATTATGAACACTTAGTGGAAGTTTTCCTCTGTGGTGACTGTTCATTTTCCTCATCAATTCTTCCCCTCCTCTCCTTTCCTGAATACATTTAATTCCTGTATCTTTCCACTAGTTACTCTCCAGTACTTTGTCCAAGGGCAAGTGAGTTAAGGCCATGTGTGTATTCACTATTCACACGGAAGCCCTGAATGTAAATATCGACAAGCTATCCAACTACAGATGCAGGAAGAATATCAGTTGAGTTAAATCCTGTCCTCATCACTGTCCTCACACACTCATGTTTAGCAGACTGGGTAAGTGATCAGGAATGTGAACTCTGGCTCATTTTTCTCTCCTTAGCTGAGAGCCTCGAGGTCAATTGCAATGTTCCTATCTGAGATTGTTAGTACAAACTGAGAATCTGACCTGGGACCCTCCTGGTGTGTATGGCTTGGCTACTTATTAGATAGATTCTGTAAGTCATTGACAGAGGCTCAGTAGGGTCTTTTGCAAAAGGAAGGACTTCATTAAGACGACATGATTTTACCTATTTCACTACTCAACAGTAATAAGTTGAGCATTCAGTAGAAGATTAGATTCTTAATGTATTTATTCTCAATAAATTCAAGTTGTGAAAATGGGGACCCCTTACAGTAATTGGAAATGCCAACTCATGGAGACTCCATTCCAAGGAGACTCTGCAGTTTGACAGAAATTCTAATGTGAATTCGTATTAAGCAATATCATGAATCAGAATTCACCTACACCAAATTCAACATCAACAACTTGCACTTATATAGTGGCCTTCACATGGAGTAGTGTCTCAGAGCATACAAAATACTCTACACTTTACAGAAAGTACTATGAAGCTCTTTGAGGTGTCTCGATGTGATAAAGGGCAATATCAAATGCAAGGATTATTATATGGGAAAAAATTCCGTTCAGCGTTCCACACAACGCATTTAGTGATGTCAGCCATGAATGGGATTTCCTTTTATGGTTATGCATCACCAAAGATCCTGCAAATAATGCTGAATCATTGTTTACATCATTGTTTCTTATTTGGGAGACATCTGTACGGAGCATTCTTCATACATTACACTCATCTTTTTCCAAATGTTCTGTTCAGAGAGTATGATGTTACAGTATTCATATGTTGCGTTTGCTAAAGGCTGGCAGGTGAAAGGCCCACTGAGAAATGGGATGCTGAACATATGTACTCATGGAATACAAAAAGAAACTTCATGAAATCACAACGTAATAATGAAGTTGCTGTGGTTTTCTGTGATCTTCCCAATTCCCAGTGTGCATATTATATCCCAGGCTTCAGTTAAAGAAAGCCCATGACAGCAGCACAGCCCAGTTCATAATATTTTAGATATTTCCATGACAAATGCAGTAAAAGTAAACGTAACCTCAGTGTCACCCAGGGGCAATGAATAAATGTATTCAAATAATTGGAAAGAAGTCAAGAATGGCCCACATATAATACAATATAATGTGTCCTGCTTGCAGGCTCATCAAAGAGTGGAACCAGAGACTTGAAAGCAAAAGAAAACTGATGCAAAACATCCACGACGATGATAAGAAGAAAAATAAACCTGTGGTATCAATTGAAGCTCCTGTTCAGCAAGTGCCTTCGAGTGCTTGAGATTATTTAAGATGCTTTTGGGTCGTTTAATTAAGGCTTGCATGCAACCATGTTGTTAAGAGACAAATGTTTGCCGATGTCTAGCTAGTCAACTCACTGTGTAAATGTATCGATTTAGAATAGTGCAGGATCCTAGATTCCCTGTTACATGAGGTCTCATGTATTGCAGCATATTAAGGATGAAAACGTGTAATTCACAAACCAAAGTCTCAGTGCTAACAATGACATATGGTTTGAGTTCTGCTTTTGGGCCATTTCGAGTGAAGGCCCCAAATAACTGACAAAAGATTGGAAAACAAAATTCCGGAGCAAAATGACCTTCGTCAGCCTTTCGGATTGTGATTTTTTTCTAAATAAGTTTGGGAGCAAATCCTCCAATTTCGGTCGCAACCTGGCGTCGTTGTCAGTGACTTCCTGTTTACAAACACCACCTTTACCTTCTGAAAGCACACAACTATTTAAGCTATTCACCAAAACTCCATCATGTCTGCTGACATCTCCAATATTTCAATTCCCCAGCAATGGAGGCAACATTTCCACCAATTTAAAATAACCATTTCTCTCTGGGACACTTTTCCACTGGTTGAGATTAAACTGTAAACCTGAAGAGTGACTAAAAAGATTCGCAAATTATCACTCAAATCAATTAATTTTCTGCCCTCGTTCCAATATGTCACTGACATATACCACAGGATGCTTCAAAGGCAGAACTCTACATGTAACCCCATGGCCATTCTTCACATGTAAAGGCATGTAATGAATGTTGGCAGGCCATTTGACCGTGGGGGAAGGGAGAGAGATCACTTTTGAGTCCAATCTTGTCCTCATATAATGTTCAATGCTCAGGCTCCCAAGTTGATATATTTTAAAGTGAAATACGCTGTGTTGTTATTTGTTCACATGTGAGCATTTTCCATCAGAGATCACTGAATAGCGATCAGATACAGGCGCCCTGGCTTATTTATCTCCCCCAAGTCAAGAGAATCAATTGTAGCACCTTACCACTATCGTAACTAAGATCAGTTCACCCAGCACAGAACAGGGATTAAATCTTCCTGATCTGCATGGCTCGTATTATACACACTGAACCATTGTGTCCTGGGTACGAAGCACTTTTTTAGAAAATTACACAGACAGCTAAGAATGTCAATGTGGCCCAATTACTAATTACTGTTGGCTTTGTCCTTTGTCTGGTCAAATTTTTAGTTTTAATACCTAAACTATGGCCTAAGGGCAAAGCTACTGCCCTTCACAAAGAGAACAACATCAACTAAACATGAATTTGTAGAGTACTCTTCATGTGAAGGAACATCTCAAAGTCATCGTAATAATGTAATGTTGGTCATTGAGAAGGAAATGAGAGATTTAAAGATGTACCCACATACACACATACCTACTAATTAAAGTTGCTAGAAGAGATATTTTTAAGCGTAATTTGAAGCCAGGAAGTAAGGTATTAAGGGAAGGTGATTTTGGAGTTCCAGAGGACAGTGCAGAATAGCTGAAGGTAAGTTCAACAGTGGTGGAGCAAAGGGTGTGGGGAATGAGCAAGAGATCAGAGTCAGTAAAGTGCTGGTCGTGGCCTAGAATGAGGGCTGGAGAAGATTGAATAGGTAGTTTCAGTGAGATCAGGTGTTGGGTGCCAATAAAGTTTGGCCAAATGGGGGTAATGAGTGTGGAGAGCTTTGTACAGGAGAAAACTCAGGCTGCAGAGTTCTAGATCTGTTGCATTTGAAATTGGTCATTCACTTCCTGACTGTTTGTAAAACGTTGCTGTGTACACAGTGACTGCCACCTTCACCTGCAAGTACAGACACTAGACATTACAGTAATTCCTGTGAGGTATGTTGAGACACTTTGATGATATCATGAGGCCCTATATCAAATGTGAGGCTTAATTATATTATTAAAGTTATCTAATATTATTTATATTATCTAATTATATTATTATTAGATATGCGATAAGGGAGTTAACTGGCAATGCTCCGTAATGGACTGAATGTGTGGATTGAAACTCAGCTCAGGTAAAGCAGATGACTAAGGCTAAGGAGGTTACCCACCACCTGATCAATCTGACAGAGCAACCCAAAACATTTGATGGAAATGGAATCAAAATGGGAAATAACAATCTGCGTGCTATACAACACTGCAAAACCGAGACACTAAATAAAGATCTTTGGTTCAAACGTAGGCCAAAATAAACATTTCACAGATTACCCTGAACATTTCAGGACTGGGATCATAAGCAAAGTATAAGCGGGCAGTTGTTGTGTGTGTCTGTGTTGGCAGAACAACAAGCCTCTGATCTCCCATTCATCCTCTTCCCCTCTTCCTTACTCAGCAGCCAACCGTGTCCTTATACAGCACTCTTAAGAAAGATGCTATATAAATGAATGTTATTGTTGTCCATCTCACTCCCACTATTACTAATATTTGAACAACTCAGCTTTCCTGACAATGGATGAAGTGCATGTATCAAATAATAATTTGTTGTTGATAATGATTTTCAGCTTGTAAAGCTAATTTATTAGTTATATAAAATAATATGAGTGTTTCCTGTTTAGCAAAAAAAAACTGCTTCCCACAGTATTTTATCTTCTCATTAAAAATTAATGCTGGGAATTTTCTGTTTGTATTCCTTATTGCTATCAAGCAACTCCTTTTGGAAGATGTATGTGTATTTCAGGCTGGGGCTTTACTGAGATGCTCTTAGTTTGAATAGTCTGCTCCCACTCACTGCTTTGGCTCACACGAGAAGAGTTTGGGCAAAGCACTAGAGAGTGACTTGGGCACCTGTGGACACATCCCCAGCATGTGAATCAGTGGTGTCACGAATGGAACAGGGAAAATTAAGGAAGCTTTTTTTAAAAAAAACTACTACTTTGATAACTTTCAGCCACAGTGGTGCTGTTAACCACACGCCACAAAACCCCAAAAAAATTCAGCAAGCTGTTTGTTGTACTCTATGGCAAACTAAGATGAAAGTGTGTTACAATGCAACATGTTGAAATGAATCTGAAATGTTGCCAGCGAATTTCCCCAATAACCCTGAGCTGAACGTTCTTTCTTGATGTTCTCATTGCTAATCCTACGTTGCCAGTCTTCCCACCTGCTTAAACTAAATAAAAATCTTTCGGAAATCCCTACGGCTGCCTCAGCTGCTCCCAGGCCTTCCTTTTCTGGTCCTGAAGAAGGAGCCTCAGGCAGCAGGGCAAATTGGACGGCTAACTTGCGTACGTTTTGTTCAAATCGTGTTTAGAAGGCAAGAAAAATTGATATGTGTGTTCCTCGACCCATGCAGTTTCTGGTCAACATTCTTTATATACAAATTGAATACAATCGATTCAATTTGCATTCCTGAGCGTTTTGAAAATTATCAGCATTTTTGAAAATTATTCAACTTTTTGAAAATTATCAAATTATCAGCTGCATGATATGGTGCCTTATTAGTTCGTCAAGACCTCTCAAAGCCCTTCACAGGATATACTTCAAAGTGGAAATAAACTGCATTAATATAATCAAAACTAGATGTTTTATTCCCCTGCTTTTTCAGCCAGCTCTATTTTGTAGAGATTCCTTTTATCTTGCGTTGTGGTCTGAACTAAAAGTTTTGCACGAATTGTCTCGCTCTCCAATTCTCCTCCTATTGCTTTGACAAAGTTGCTCAATTCTATCTGCAGATACAGCTGAGATCAGAATCAGTACTGCAAGAGGGGACAGGAAATTGGAGAGAATAAAAATATCCACTATGTTGCTAAAAGTTTTATAGTGGTGGGAACTTGGCCAGTCGGTAAAGTCATCATCAAATGGGTACCTTTTTGGTGAAGCCAACTGCATTTGTGTCCAATCTAGGGCTTTACTCATAATAACAATATTAATAATAACGATGAAAATGATTCTTGAATTTTATGTAGCATCTATGACATTGAAACATCTCAAAGTACTTCACAGGTAATTGCCGTCAAGAGTTGTGACTGTGTATTTGTAGGTATAAATGGTTGAGCAAGGTCACAGAGCCATAAAATGAATGATCAATATATAGAGGATTGATATACCCTGAGCTGGCGGCTGCTGGGGGGTGGTGGGGGAGCTAGGCAGGGTTAAATCACAGCAAAAGGCGGGGGTGGGGAGAATCATTGGAGTGGGATTCAGGGGATTCTCTGAGAAATTCGGACAGGAGCTTACCTGGCTGGTGTCACAGCAGCTCCTCGAAGCAGTTCCAGTTGCTGTCAATTTTTTTACACTGGGGTCTAATTCACAAGTTGTGCTAAGCAAGTGAAGTGCGGTTGGAATGACACCGGTGGTCCTGTATCTACCCACTATCTTCTCACCCCCAACTACATTTAAATCCTGTAACTACACAATCACAGAGCCCAGTATTGAAACATTGTACTGTTTTCTTTTCACCTCCTGAAACAACATTTGAATGCATTTGACCACTGAATGTCAATATATCTTTTTAAATGGTTGCTTCTGTTAATTTAACAGCTCCCTGTACTCATTTTGTGCTACTATTTGTCTCCATTCACATTAAACAGTCTCATTAAGTGTCAAGAAGCTAAATCGATATGGTACCTTTGAGTACCATTTGCTCTGTCTAATAATCCATCATTTTACTTTAATGCACTCTGTGAAACACAATACACGGTTGTAATGTATGAGCAGAATAAACAGTCTTTAAGAACATTTATCAGACATGGCAAATTGCACATTTGATCCTCAGTCTATGCAGATTCAGAGCTAGAGTTAAGGAGAAGTGGAAAGCACAAATTCACCTCGTTTTTTTATGGTATTTTGTTAATCTACTTGATACATGACATGGTCGGGGCCAAAACTCACTGATTATAACCACAACTTACATTTACATAGTAAATTTCAAGTCATAAGGACATCTCATATTGCTTCACACAATTCACTAGACGCCTTACTGGGGGGCAGGAGAGAACTCTGCTTGCAGAGTCTTCCGAGCTTTTGTAGGAAGCAGCTGAACTATCTGGTGAGTGGGACATTGGAATAATGGAGCTGGGATGTGATGAAGGCACAGATGAGTCTATTGACGGCACAGTGGGAGAGGTAGTGGTGGAGACAAGCAATGTTGCCAGAGTAAGGATGCAAACCTCATCTTAACGAAAAAAACATGTGAACATCATTCACAGTTACTATATCAATTACACTCCTGAAAATGCAACAATGTATATGTTCCCCAGCCTCCCCAGGCAGATTGTTCCACTTGTTCCACCCTCTGCATAAAGTAGTTAAATCTCAACTCTTTGTTCACATTCCCCACCTGAGCTTGTTTCATTGACCTCTGGGCAATTGTTGGGCACCTCACGCATTTATTATTTACTCTGGTTAGATTTTGCATGAGAAATTCCCCCAACAGATTCCATGGGGATGTGATGAAAGAGGATGGATCAGTTTATTAATAATAATAATAAAATAATAAAAGTAGCCGTTGCATTTGATATAGCACCTTTTGTGTAAGAGATTGTCTCTAAAGTGTTTTACAGGATTCACTGTAATAATAATAAAATAATAATCCTTGCATTTGATATAGCGCTTTTCACGTCGGGAGGACGTCCCAAAGTGCTTCACAGAACACATTGTAAAGTGAATTGACTGTATATTTGTGGGCGAATGCGGCAGCCAATTGCGCACAGTAATGTCCCACAAACAGTCGTAGATTGAAAATGACCAATTTAATTATTGTAACGTGACTGTGTATTTTGTAGGTAAATTAAATAAGCACTTCATCAAAATCTCTTGCAAATTTCATATGAAAATGAAGCATCAACACACAAGCTTGGATGGGCAATTCAAATCCACCTGATATGCAAGCCAAGTTGAACCAGCCAAGTCAGTACTAACTCTGGAAGGAATTGTATTCATTTGCTCACCATGGGGATGCAGATAAACAAACAAGGCTTTTGTAAGATGGTTTGCTTCATTGTAACCTTTAGATTTAATCAACTCTTTTTGGTTACCAAGATGGAGAGGTTTAACAAATCAAGGCTGGTAAATCCACAAAGGCTGCACGATGAGCTGGACGTCTCGTTCATATAGCCCAGCATCATCAACGGATTAAACATTGAAAGCTTGTCCTCAGGTTCAGCTGTCAAATGCAGATCCCAGCTGGAATATCTCATAGGTCAAAAGCATCTTTGAACCTGTGATCAGATTAGATCTTGGAAAACACATGGAAGATGTTGCACTAAACATAGCAATGGATCATTATCTGCTATGAAAATGATGTCGCTCACACCGATCCTCTGGACATATAAATGCAGTTAAACACTTGTACTGACTACAATTAGGTACTAAATACAATTATCATCATTCTTCCACATGTTTCAGTTGCTGGTCAGTGCACTGTAGAAAAAAAATGGGGGGTAATAGGACTTTGTGGATATCCTGTAGCGCTGGAGCAGAGCTTCAATGAGTCAACAAGAATTCAAATAGGATCCCTCACTAAGGAATTCTGTTAAGAAATACAGTCCTGCCAATTAAGCCCCAAGGATAAACATTGAGAGAGATGCTACAGAATCTGTAATCATTACTTTCAGACCATGCTCTCCTCTGCTGAAGGTAGCCACTCTGGCTGGGGTACAAATCCACAGTCACCAACAGTTCCTTAGTCATAAAAGAACCTAGGTGGCAAGTATCACCAGGCTATTTCAAACAATGGTGGGCAGGGAGTGGGGATAGAGTGAAAACATGTGATCCCAATCCTGGTATTTTTCCAGCAGGATTGTTACCTGCAGCCTGTTGACCCTGAGGCATTTCTAGTCTGTATAGTAACACACGATTTAGTGCATTTATCCCCTTAGCCAATGGTAGAGACTATGCTATAGCCTCCTGCAGTTTTTAAAGGTAAATTCAGCAACC